ATCGGAACTTTTAAACGTGTCAATGCTGTATCTAAATTTTCAAAAAGTGTCAAATTGGCTTTGACCATTAGTTATCTGTTGAAAATGTCAAAACTATCCTTCAAAAGAAGACACTGTTCATTGTCTTCTACCTTGAGACTGAACTAGTTGAAGTGTTTGAGATTCTAGACTAATGAAGTCATTATCTTCTACTTTTAGATCTGAAACACATTATTGTCTAGTTATTTCTTTGTTTTCAGTTATTGTTTTCCTCTATTATATTTCATATTTTTTCTCTCATTTTCTTTGAAGATAACCAGTTCAGTATCAACGTAGAAGACAATGAACAATGTCTTATTTTAAAGGGTAGTTTTGATATTTTCAACAGATAACTGACGATCAGTTAACGACAGGGACCAACTTGACACTTTTTGAAAGTTTAGGCACTGTAGTGATACATTTGAAAGTTCAGGTATTAACTTGACACTACCCCCAAAGTTCAGAGTACTAAAGTGAAATTTTCCCTATTTATCATGCCACTTCTATATATTTGACTCTATAATTTAATATAATATAATGAAATTATGGTAATAATAATTTTAGAATATATAATCTTCTAAGCTACATTTGTTGTATAGCATAGAAAGATTTTTGTGGGATGGAAAACGATATATGTAATGGAAAAAAGGTGCAAAGATTTTGTGCCCCATTATTTGATGGTACAAAAGAAAATAGTTGGAATGTCAATCTCAGCAAGAAAGAATATTTCATATTTCAATCAAAAGCCAATCACTTGATCATGTACAAGAACTGTATGACAAATTATGATCATCAATTAAGATATCAGAGAAAATATATGATCAGAAAATAAGTTATGTAAGGCTATGTTTGGTTTGAAGAAAAAGATAGGGAAAGAAAGGAAAAGATAGGGAAAGCTATACAAGATATGTAAATGTTTTCTTATCTTTTCCCTATTTTTTTTTTTTTCAAACCAAACACAGCCTAAAGAAACCTGGTGGGGTTTCCATTTGCTTACTGTACAAAGGAGTGATTTACAGTGAATTGATGTGGTCCAATTAACATCATTAATTCCAAATAAAAATATTATATTATTAAAAATTAAAAAAAAACAACAGCAAATTAAACACTGAAAGCAACGTAACAGGGCCACAGAACTCGTTTTGTCTTGATTAACCAAGGATTGGAGGGGCCTGCATATCTTTTTAGAATTTGTTTTATATATTTTTTTATATAATGTTGGAATAGTAGAAGTTAGGGCATTATAGGAAGTAACCGACACATCTCTGCATTGTTTGAAAACGTGGATATATGGACAATGCATACTTTTTAACACAAGGGATAAAAAAGAAATGCGTTATTATCAAAATAAAGACACCTATATAAATAATTCACACGTTGCATCAGAGTCGTTCTTAGTTCAAACTCTTTAATTGAAAAGGTTGGCAATTGATTACACCCGGCCAAAGTGTCTCATGGCCGAGAGTGCATCTCCAGTTCTAAATCAAAATTTCAGTTAGTCAAGTTAAATATGGCATTGGTGTATTTATTTTTCATTGATTCATGATTCATATTTCATAAGATTTAATTGTGTTCAAATTTTGTGCTTCACGGTGCAGATTATGCACCATAGATTTTGTTTAGTTGTTATCGGGCCAGAAAACTTTCACATGGGCCACAATGGTTTGGAGTCGTTGAGACAAATACATAGAATTATTCTATGTCACCATCCGTGGACCATGTTTAGGGAATTGTGGTGGGCCATGGACGTGGGCCTAACCCATTAAATGAGACCATTATCATGACTGGATAAATCAATGGAGTTCCTTGGCTACCAGAATAGCATCGTCTAGATGCACTTCACTAGGGTTTGCCCACTGAAAAGGATGCAAAACTAGAAATGGCAATAGGCTGGCCTGAGGCCCAAGTGATCAGCTTACTATCACCATTACAGCTTTGTGCTTTTTCTGAGTTTAATTTGCTCATAAAAGAACAATTACAATTGTGTTTGGATCGAGGATCGGAAATTCTGCTCCTTCCCAAAATCAGATTATTAGAAATCCTTACCCCATTCTTCTTATTATTAACAAATCAATTGAGAATGCAAAACAGTGCGCTGCAAAAGTCTATTACCTTTCATCCCAATTCACGAAATGAAAATAGGGCTGTTCATGAGTCGGGTTGGGTCGGTTTATTGAGGTTTTTCTAACCGATCCGACCTAGTCGGGTTATCTGAATTTGAAATCAAACTCGACCCAGTGTTAAGTAAAACCAGCCTATTCGGTTTGAGTCAGTTTGGATCGGTTTTGGTTCTAAGTTCAACTATGCTTGACAGAAACTCAACTGCAATATATATGTGGGGACTGTGGCACCACAGTATGTGAGGTAGTAACACGGGAAAAAGCTTGTTTTTGATAAACAGGATATACCTCTAGTCCACAGTTTGGACTTTGGAGAGGAGAAGAAGAGCAAAACCCATATATAATAATAATGCCTATTATAGAGGTATATATGTTATATATCTTTTCAGTAATTAAGTTTTATCTCCAAAACCACCAACCTATCCCTTTGATTATATATTCATTTTGAAGTTTAATTGTCTTAATTGGGATTTGGGTGAATTCTGTAGGGAGACTTCAGGACAGTTAATTACAATCATTAAACTAGCCAATGTAATAGATTTGAAGATGGACAATTAGTTATGGGGGCTTAATTAATTTAAACTTCATAAAGGGACAAGTAGTCGGTTTGGTTCGGGTCGATTTTGATTTTACACAAGAAAATCGAAACTAACCCGAACCATCAGTTTATGATATTTTACAACCTGAAACTGACCCATGCTGAAGATAACCCGGCCGACTCAGGTTGGATCGGTCTAGGTTGGTCGGTTTGGTCAGATTGGGCCTTCTTATGAACAGCCCTAAATGAGAGAGAGAAGTTGGCTGCGTCCAAAGTTGGTAAAGCTCTCTAATGAATTAGGAAAATGAGACAAGGGAAAATGAACTGGATTTCTTCTGAAACGCCACCTTGGATCACCCCGAAAAGTCAACACGGAGGACTCCGGGAGCGTTTGGTTTGAAGTTTGAACTTGAAGCTCTTGTCTTTTGATTGATCTGGCCACTGGTTCCGTCCGTTTCAAGTGTAAACTTGACTCTATGGTGCGGCCTTAACTCTTAACAATGTAGGGTGACACTGTCGAAGATGACGATGGTGATGGTGATTGATGTTCCCTGGGCATGACCAGATGACGATGATGGAGCAAGAGCTCTTCTGCTACAGTTATGGGTTACCCAGCTCAGTCAATTAAAATAATTGAATGTTGCCTGAACTCATATTTTGCTTAGGCTGTGTTTGGTTGCACTGTTGCAGTATAATTTTATTTGTATTAGTACAAATGCATGGGAATGCAAATAAAAAAAAATTGCAAATTCTCGTTGAATTTTGTTTTGGGTTTTACTTTAGAATCTACTTCATGTCTTAATTTATTTCATTTGTATTACAATCAAACAAAATAATTTAAAATTTAAAACAAAAATGGGTTAGAATTTACACTCAAATCATTTGCACTGCCATGATTTTACATCAGTGTAAATTCATTTGCATACAACTAAACATAACCTTAGGCTCAGTTTGGAATGAGTGTAAATACAAATATGCACAGTACAAATACATACAAAATAATACAAAGTACAAGGTTTTGCACTCAATGTATCTAACTATCTATATTTATACTAAGGCTGTGTTTGGTTTAAAGGAAAAAGTAGGGTAAGGAAGGAAAAGGTAGAGAAACCTGTACAAACCTTGTATTAGGTTTCCCTATCTTTTCCTTCCTTTCCTTACCTTTTCCTTCAAACCAAGCACAGCCTTAATAGCAGAATCAGATCAATGAAGAAATCCCAATGATATCAAATTCATCACGTCAAAAGGGAAATCTCTACTAATAATTGCATTGGTGAAAAAAGAAATTCTAGCTCAGAAAGAATATGTGTAGAGTGCAAAATCTTGTATTTTGTATATATTTGTACTCTTTCCAAACTGAGCCTCTATAAAAAAATCATGATAATGAATTACCAAAATATTGGCAGTGCAATTTCATTTGCATTGGCTCCAATTATTAGATTATATGCATTATAAAATTTTCTACAATATATTAGGTTTGCACTTGCATGCTTCCCAAACTGAGCTTTAAGAGTTGATTTACAATGAATGTTTTCTTTTCTTTTCTTTTCTTTTCTTTTCTTTTTGTTTTTTTTGTCTTTTTTCATCTAAGATAATTAGAAAACTATTGGTGTACAAATTTTTTGTAATATTTATGCCTGTTTTACCGCCAAGACTTTATTCTCCACTTATTTTTATGAAGAAACAAATGCAGCTATGCTTGGGTATTGATTATATACCTATTTTCCTTCTGTTATTCTTCTGCTTCTCATTTCATGTTTTAGTATGCCCTGAAGCAAACACTGCCAGGCATCACCTGAACTGCTCTTTGAAATTAATAAATCTAAGCTTAAGGGTACTACTAGGTGAATAATATCATACCCATGTTACCATAGCTAGCAATAATTGCAAAAACGGGTCGGGTCTGGATCCGGCTTTCCCCAAAAATTTTATACTGCATGTAATGTTCGAAGTCGAAGTTTGCTGTGCATATATATGACATTTGGCTTTTGAGGAGTAAAGCTCAGACAAGACAAACCAACATTTTTGATTCTTTTCCCTTCTTCTTGAGCTGCTGGGACGGTGCTTAATTTCGGTTGCCAATGTTCTTCTCTCCACATCCTTAAATTTATTGTTATCTTGTTATGCTTTTCATGTTGGGATATGCGTCGGGTTACCCGATAAAGGACCCACCAACGAACCCTTCAAGTTGTCTCCGACCGGGTTCAAAACTTCAACGACAACCAGGGTCAGGATCGGGCGTACGGTACGGGTAAGCAGAAACCTGGCGAACATTGCAAGTGGGATGGTGAATCTGGGTTGGAAATTGGTGATGGAGAACGGAATGCCACAACAAACTAACTGCAGTAAAGTCCATTCATTAATACGTACATATCTCGTAAGCAGGAAGGGACGATTCATATAAATGTTTGTATAGAACATAACAATATACTAATGATCTCCATCTCTATATATCTATTTCTAAAGAAATATTTTCTAGGCGGCTCGTCCAGGGTCTAGCTTTCTTCTCCATTTTCTCTTGGGCATGGCCGCAGGCCGCTGGCGCTGGGGTTACGTTATAACTTATTTGGATGAGAATTGAGAAAACAAATGTTGGACTCCACTGGCTTGACTGTTGCCTTCAAATCTTTAAACGCTAGAACGATTAGCTGCCGATTTCTACTTCCTAGCTAGGGACTTCACTGAGTGGAAACGGCTGAGTTTTTAACGGGTCATGCTAGAGACTATAGCGGGACCGAGGAGACTAAAACCTTTTTCACATTTGATAACAACAAAGGAATATTCTAATGGCGCTTGACCAGTTGACGTAGCTTGACAACTTTGTGAAACTAACGACTCTTTGCGTCACTTCTCCGGCGGTATGATCCTAGAACACCGGTGAATCCGACGGAGAAGAATTCACCAAGTTGAGTATGTTGTTCCAGTAATTCTTGTTCTCTTCAAAGTCGTCGGTGCCATGGCTGCCATTGGCATAATCAGAATCTCTACTTTCTTCCGATGAATTCTGGTCATCGGAATTGTTGATGAGAAGATCGGTGAAGCCTTCAATGAAGTTTGCACCGGCTACTTGCCCGTTTTCCGTCTTTGATGATTCCGAAGTCCATGAGTCCTCGGCTGTAAACACTGCATCATGATGGAAACCTGTCATCAATGTCACTGAGTTTTCCATCCTTTCTTTGCATTCGGGCAGGTGGATGTGGATCGTCTTCCCAAAGCCTTTCCAATCTTCTTCACCGCCTTCTTCTTTGACAACAAGTCCTCCCTCACCTGTGCTTGAACTGCCGACGAATTCCACTGTAGCCGTAGGGTTGTCACCGAATCCAACACTTGGGATCGGCACTGCATTCTCAGAAAAGCTCAAAGTAGACGTCGGAGACTCAAGACCAAGGCCGCTGCCTATGCCAGACATCAAACCGCTTTTTGTTGACTTTGACCACACTCCTTGCCAAGCTTTTAGCACGTCGAGACACAGAGACGACGCCGGAGGAGCTGATGTCTTGTTGAGAGGCTGAGCCGAAGTGGAAGCCAAATCCGTAGCCGGTGAGCCCAGCTGCTGTTGAAACGAACTGGACCTCAACTTAGATTCTCTAACCAATCTTGCTTCGGCTTCGAGGCGAGCACTCTCCCACTGAGCCATGTGGCTTAGTGTGGCTGCTGTCTTGGACTGACCGTCGACCGAGCTCAGGGCGTCGCTCTTGGGCTTGTGGGTTACCGGATCTATTCCCATCTTGGCTAGCCTTTTCTTGAGGTGGGTGTTCCAGTAGTTTTTGATTTCATTGTCAGTTCTCTTGGGCAAATGTGTTGCTATAGCCGACCACCTGCAGTAAAGGCACCCAGATAGAAACAGCCAAGATGAAAGCCAAACCCTATAACATATAAAACCCTAGAAGACATTTTCAACGTTCTACCCATCTAAAGGCAGAAAAGAACTCAGATCAAAGACAAGAAACCTCATCTAAATTCCTAGACCCTCCCCCCCTTTTACCTTCTGCGTTCTGTCATAATTCGAATTAGAGATTTAAAGCCTAAAGGACCCATTTCCGAACAACATTTGTGAAGGTTGCAGGTTATAATAAGTGGTTAAGAAATTAAGAGGAAGCCCGTATTACATGCACCGAAAGGGAGAGTTGGTGTGATTTTGAACTTACAATTCGGAGGTTAAAACAAATTTGAAAGGAAGAAGGAAAACCCCATCAAAAACGAAGTTCATCTAAACAAATAATATAAATAATCTGTACAGTAAGCCGTAACTCAATAGTTTATCACAACCTAGCAGAAATCAACCCATTAACCAATACTGACGAAGAAGGAAAAGTAATTGAAAGGTGGAGAATTATTTGTTCCTCATAGCTTTTTCTTTACTCCAAGTATTGATTTTGAAGTTTTTTCTATCAAGTTTCCCATCATCGAAGGAGTAGAGAATTACTAGGTTAAAAAGCTATATATCCTAAATATAATGACAGATGAAGACCCCCC